GGGAGAATTGCAAAAATGTGACTTTTTAATTACAGTTTTACAAGCGTGCCACATACACATGTTCATTTGCATATCTGCCACTTTTTCATAGGAAAGAGACAAAAATGTTCATTTCTCTCTCTTTTTCTCTTTTTATTTTTCTGCTAAAAAGCATAACAATTTTTTTTTCTTCTCTCTTTTCTCTCGGAAAAATTAGAACAGTTTTCTCTTTTTTTTTCTCTCTCTCAAGCTCTTGTTGATGGAGAAAATGGTAATGATGGCGTTGAAGGAGAAAAAAACATATCTCTCTCTCTAAAACAAAAAACAAATCAGAATGTCTTCTCTATCTCTAAAACAAAAAAAAAATCAAAGTTTCTTCTCTCTCTCTTTCACTCATATAGATCGAAATTTAAATCTAAAGCTTTTCATTCGATTTGGGTTACAAATCTGAGTTTATCATTCGATTTTGGTTACAAATCAAAAGTTTTTTATTCGATTTGGCTGAATATGTTGATAAATGTGGATTGTATTTGGGGTAATTTCAATCTGTCGATCTAGATACGATTTCAATCTAGGTTATTTTTTTTTTATTATTATTCTGACTGATTTAAAGTTTTGACGTTTTTTCATAAACTTTTTAAACAGTTTATAAACTTTTTAAACCGTTTTTAAGACTATGTATTTATAGTTTATAAACTGTTTCAAAAGTTTATAAGGTTTTTAAAGAGATTTGTGAGGCAATATAAAATATTGTTTAATACTTCATTTGCAAGGTTTTTAAAACGTTTATAATGTTTATAAAGTTTTAAAATGTTTTTAAAATCTTTATAAGATTTTTAAAATATTTTTAAAAAATTTTGACGTTTTTCATAAACTTTTAAACAGTTTCTAAACAGTTTAAATAGTTTATAAACTTTTTAAACAATTTATAAGAATATGTATAACATTTTTAAATGTTTATACGTTAAATGAATATACTAAAACCTAAACTCTACCCCCAAAAACGATATGTACCCTAAATGTAAAATAGTTAACCCAAACCAAAAAAAAAATGTTTGGTGTTTATGTCTACGTTTGCATCTGCGTTTTCTCTGATAAGATTTTTCTTCTTCTTAAATTTACCATATCCAATCTCATATCCATTATTTTCTTTTTGAAACTTATCTCAGATCCATGTTTTTCTCCAACAACAATGACGAAATCAGAAACAGTGAGATCCGATCTCATGACAGCGAGATCTGGTTCATAGAGAGAGTTGAGATCTGGTTTAGAAAGAGAGATGAGATCTGGTTGAGAGAGAGAATAAAATCTCATATCTATGTTTTTAATCAAATCCATCACCAGATCTGTAAAAATTAGGTCAAAGGATAAATTGAGAATACTAAAAATAAAAAGTAGCACGATTGCAAAAGTTTTTGAAAAGTGGCATATGAAAAATGACATATCTTAAAATTTCTC